AAGATCAACACTCAAGGCCCTCCACAAGCTCACACACTCACAAAGGAAGATGATACACACTATTAGGGTTTCTGGACAGAGGAGACTGGTAAGGAGGCCAACCAAGGGACTTAAGGCCTTTAAATAGGGTGCAACATCCTAAAAATTATGGTTTCCTTCCCAACCGCCAACATGCCGAGTTGAGACACCTCGACTCGCCGTGTTGGTTCATTAATTTCCGAGGCCAAAGACATCTTGAATCTTGACACGCTGAGTTGAAGCTTCCAACTCGCCGAGTCCCAAAGGAAATATAAACAATTTAGAGAATAAGCTCATACCGGAACCAAGCGTTACATCTGCTACCGGGTTCCTTTTGTGTAAAGATCTGAAAACTTTATTTGTAAAGACGAAATAGTGAAATCATGCAGTTTTGAGCAACAATGGTAACTAATCGGTGCATCTACTGCAAATTGACGCCTATTGTTTGCTATTTCTTGGTATTTTGTTTCAACCGAAAGAGGAAAAAGGTAAATATAATATATTTTTTTTATGTATTCTAACCTCATGTATCATTTTCAAAGTAGATTCCGTGTTTACTCTATATTTTGATTTTATTGGCAGTATTATTGCTATTATTTGACAGGTTCATGGCCAATCCTCAATATATGGAGCAGGTATGTTATAAATTCTACATTGTGTTTGAGGTGTTGAAAATTTTTATAATTTTTTTTAATGGTATTGGTGATATGAATTTGTATCTTGATCTTCTTCAATCTGGTTACACGGAAGGGTTAGGAATTCTCGTTGCCTATTTTTCTTTTCACTGAATGTTTGATCTCAAGAATATTATGATGACTTGTTGATTACTTTTATAAACATGTTAGTAAAGTATTCAAATTTTTTAAGAAACAAAGAAACATGGTGTTTACAGCATCTTAAAAACTTTCAACAATACAAAGTGGGGAAAAAGCCACTTTGTGTTTCGATATGGGGATAAAAAGCTATAATCTCTTTAATTACTTTCCAAATGATGCATAATCTTTTGTTTAATCTTAATTTTTCATTCATGGCTAATTTGGTTTGTAGAATTTATATGGATTCTAAAAGGAGATTGTAAACATTTTATAAAATGGTGCTAAATCCTTTTCACCACGTTCTTATTTTCCTTTGGTATATATTGGTTGTGTTTACAAGAACTTTGATTCATTCACAATTTATGGTCTTTTTTTGTTGACTCATGTAGAGATGCTCTTGATGCTTTGGGACTGGTTCGTTATTGTTGCAGAAGAATGTTGATCTCATTGAGAAGCTTCTGAATTACAACAATTACAACAATAACTTCACTCCATATTTCTACATTAAAAATTATTTTCAACATTACAAATGAAGTGATTATTATTATATTCAAATCCATAATTAATCCACTAAATTTAGGAACAACCATTGTTTCTTTTTTGCTCTTACACTAACAAAGGTGGCATTCTGTTGCAGCATTGGAGAAATCTGATACTAGCCGAGGCCTTGTGAAGTTCGTGAATAATGTTTTGGATAATCCTAAATAGCTTCCCAAGTATATGCTAAATTGTATTGATTAAACAAAATGGATTGATATTTGGGTTGTGTTGTCTACTGTGGGAATATTATTTTGGTTTAAAGGATTTGTAAATCGTGTTGTATATTGATGTAGAGAACATTGTGTTCTGGTTTATAGCTGCATTTGTTTTGATATGTGCCTTTGATAAATTTTAAATGGTTGACAAAGTGATACATTAGGGGCTATTGGTTCCTAAGGATTATTTGGAAGTAGGAATCTGTCAAATGAATTGGAAATTGTAGGATTTGGTATATGAATGAATGCATGAATTAAATTTTGTTGTGTTTGGTTGACAATAAATGGAATAAATTTTTAACACATTCCAATACTTTATTATAGACTTTACTTCAAACATATGGCATTTTAGTACTATTTCAAGTTTATAATATGCAGGATCACAAAATAATATAGGATTATAATGTTGATGAGTATGTTTGGTGGACTTGGAGACGGTGACATAAGAGTCCCAAATATTAAATTTTTTTGCTTAAGGTCTAGAGATTTGATATGATCATCATATGTCTTTCACTTGCAAACGAATCTGGTATGTTTTGCACATGTGAGCAATCAGGAAAAAAAGATAATTCATGAAATTAGATGACTTTGTAAACAAATTCATAGAAAATATTTATTATAGTTGAAAGAAAATTAATAGTCATTATAACATTTTAATATTTTAACTTTACATAAGGATGTCGTTTTTGGTAATCTTATTATTAGTTTCTTAAATAATCAAAATTTGTCCTTCAAATAATAAAAAACGAGTTAAATGCATGAAATAACACTCATCGTTTCTTCCTATTATGACATTCCACTTTTATAAAAATATATCCAATTATAGCAATTTTGTTCAAATACAAAGCAAAATTTCCTTGTAGGTTGTCATATTTTCAATATTTTATTATTCATTACGATTTCAAATTATGAATAGTGTTTTTCTTTCTCATATGTTGTTTCCATGAGTTTAAACCTATAGTGTGTATATATACATACAAGTTCAATAAAGAACTATTATTAATCAAGGAACCAATGAACCAATTTAAAGCGTCATAATTTAAAGCGATCAACGATAAAATGCAGGGTTGTAGATTTTTACAATGGACGCACATGCATCAGATTATAACAAAATTCATTTCCTTTTTTTTCGTTTAATTTTTTTAGACTATGTTTTTTATTAAAAAAAACGAATTTGGTTCATGATTTTTCGTCATCTTTCCATAGAGATCGATATTGATATACAAAAAATGATTTTTTTTTTCAAAAAAACTCACTTCATTTCTTTGTTTTTTGAAAAGTTAAAGCCTATTTTTTATTGAAAAAATTTAATAAATATATCAAAATTCATATTTTTTTGTACTCTTTAAACATAAATTAATATTGATGTAAAAAGAAACGAAATTTCAGTATAGATTCACATTGTGAATCTGAGCAAATTCACAATGTGAATAATATTACGTCAGATTTATATTGTGAATGTTCAAATTGAAATATATTTATAGTTCATATTCACACTATGAATCTGAACCGATCGAAGTTTTTTTTAATCGATGTTGATGTTAATTAATAGAGGACAAAAAATTGAAATTTTGGTATAATTAGTTTTTTTTGGATAAAAATAAACTTGAAATATTGAAAAAAAACAACAAAACGAAGTGAGTGTTTTTCGAAAAAAAAAAAAAAATTTTATATATCAACATAGATCTCTATGGAAAGATGACGAAAAATCGTGAACGGTATATTCGTTTTTTCTTCCGATAAAAAACGTGGCTTAAAAAAATTTAAACGAAAAAAAAAGAGGTGACTTTTTTGGTAAAGATGTGGTTTTGTGGTATAATATGGTGTATGTGTGTCCAATGTACAAATGTACATCCATTTTCTTGGTCGTTGATCGTTTTAAATTTCGATGCTCACGATTGGTTCTTTAGTTCGTTGTTAATAATGGTTCTCTATTGAATCTCAACTTATATATATATATATATATATATATATATATATATATATATATATATATATATATATATGAGACGGTTCACTTGAAATTAAAAAAAAGGTAGAGATTTTGAGATTCAACCTCAGCCACATATTTCTCATTTGTCGCTCTAATGCTCCAGCGTACCGGCAACAACGAGGTATGCCTAATCATAAATGATTATATGGCAGAGGGGTATAATCATATATGATTATACATGTTTATATGTATATGCTTGATCATAAATGATTATACATATATGTCTGTTCACATATTGAGTAATCATATATGATTATGACAGTTGATGGTAGAAGAGATGGTGGTGACAGAGGTGACGGTGACATAAGTGACGGAGGTGACAGTGGTGAGGTCGGCTGGTGTCAGAGGTGGTGGTAGTGATGGTGGTGGTGGCGGTTGTGGTGGTGGGGATGGTGGCAAAGGAGAAAGGAACATGCGACGTTATATAATCATTTATGATTATAACAGGCATGTCGCGTCGGTACGCCGGAGGGTTAGAGCGGCAGATGTGAAATATATGGCTGAGGTTGAATCTCAAGATCTTTATTTTATTTTTAATCTCAACGGAACATACCTCTCTCTCTCTCTCTCTCTATATATATATATATATATATATATATATATATATATATATATATATATAGGGTGAGGTTCAATAAAGAACCATAATTAACCAAGGAACCAAGGAACCAATCTTTTTTTCAACTTTTAGAACTTATTTTTTATCAAAAAAAAAACTAAAAATATAGAAATTCATAACTTTTTATCCTTTTTCCAATAATATCAAATTCGTTTTTTTTACGTTAAATTCACAATGTGAATCCGAAAAATATTTTTCACATTCACAATGTTAATATATGAATTTAGATATTTTTAGATTTTTTTTTTCGATAAAGAATAAGCTCTAGAAATTAAAAAAAAGATTTGATTCCTTGAAGAACCAATAATTATGATTCTCTATTGAACTTTTCTATATATATATATATATATATATATATATATATATATATATATATATAAAAGAAAACTATCACTCATGAATTAGCTTTGTCCTAGTGATTTCAACTTGATAGAAAATTTAATTGTTGAAAACCTAGTGTGACTGGTCCTAGTTGAAAACCTCCTCCTTTTATATTAAAAAATAGATTAAACACTTATTTGTAGAATTACACGTAGGTTCCTCCGCCATATGTTTTTCGTATAAATCATGTCATCATCTAACAACTTGCCTATTTTATAATACTACTAAAAAATATTATTTTGCACAAATATTTTTGCTATAACGAGTATCCTTTGAGTTTCATGTTATGAAAGACGATTAATAATTAATACCCATCAAATCCATTTCCTGCCAGGCCCAGCCCATAACAATATTTTCAGCAGGCGGGAAATTACGCTTGATTAGCGGGAGCATGACGCCCGCAGTTACAACTTACGTCGATGACTCGTCGATTTGAAACGAAATCTTCTACCTCCATTAATTCTCAAACCACAAGGTCCTGCATCTTTTCTACAAGGTATTTTTCTCAATTATGGTTAATTTCAGGTTTATTATATGAATTTGATTTGTCTGATCATCTTAGGGCTTATAACTTCATTTTTATTATTCCATTTTTCGTCTGCTTGATTAATGATTTCTTCGGTTTATATGTTTTTGGTTATGATTTGTTTGAACCTTTTTTTATCGTCCGAGCAATTTATTTCTGTTAGTGTTGAAGTGTTTAAAGATCGTAAGGTTAGAGCTTCTCATGACAGTCATAATGAAGCTTACTTTATGTAACAGATTGATGAAGAAATCCAAGCGAACACACGCACCAAAACGTGAAGATGGGGCTGATATAATCAGTAAATTACCTGATCATATTCTCCTCTTGATTCTTTCACTTCTTCCAACCACCGAAGAAGTAATTCGAACCCGCATTTTATCTACACGATGGAGGCATTTGTGGACATCAATTCCCTCTCTAGACATAGATTACTCCCGACGACATAAACCCCCAAAAACATTCAAAAAGAACAAATTCAAAAAGTTTGTTTTTTGGGTTTTGGCAAACAGATCCTTCGATTTAGACAGCTTTCGTTTATGCTGTTCAAATTACTACAGTATGTCAACAATAGCGCAATGGATTAACATCGCCATTACCAGAAACGTGAAACAACTTGAGTTGAGGTTTTGCCCTAGAAAGAAGTCTGAGGATATCGAGTTGCCTCATTCTCTGGTGACTTGTGGTTCATTGGAGATACTAAGGTTGTTTTTGTCCACACATCGTCTAAGTATGCCTGGTTTTATAGGGTTTCCAGCACTTAGGGTTCTTGAGTTGAACAATGTTGAGTTATTCCACAATGATTTCCTTCAAGATTTTCTCATAAACTGCCCATTGCTTGAGGATTTGAGTTTGATAAACTGCTTGTTAGACAAACTTATCTTTCTTGTTATAAACTGTCCAAAGCTCAAGAATTTGAGAATTGATAATAGGAATAAGGCTGAGTATTTGAACAGGTTTGAATATGTGGGGTTGTGTGGTTTGGTTATGCTTTTCTGTCCAAAACTGGTGTCTTTGGAGTTTGGAGGTCATATAGCTGATAAATTTTTCTTTCAAAGTCTTGATTCCTTGAAGAAAGCTGTAATTCACTCTGAAGATACACTGCTGGATGAGTTTACTTTTGACCCAATAGGTGACACCATTCGTGAGCTGTATGCTGGAATTTCTCATGTGGAATCTTTGTCGATTAGCCATCATTTTGTTCAGGTAGATGCTTATTCCTTTTTTGAATGAGAGGGTAAAATGGTCATTTTGTCTCATTAAACCACTTTACCTATAAATAACTTAATGAGAGAAAGAAACCCGAAAAAGCCCTAATTGTCCCTGAATTATGATATAGGCGTTACATCTCCCTGTATCTCTACCTAATTTGAAGACTTTGGAGATAACAATTGATGCCCTCATCATGGATTCAATCATTGAATTTCTCAAATGTCTTCCAGATTTGGAATCTCTCCATTTAATCGTTGAACAGGTATTCTCATATCATTTTTTTAAATACATTTTTCAAGAATTCAAAACATAAGTTTGTATTTTCACATCTCAAGAATGAAAAACGTATGCTTTTGTTTGATGATCTTAGCGATTTTTTACATCAAGATTTGGGGACTTAGATCAAGAAGACAGAAGAAGAATCTTGACTTGTCATCTGAAAAAAATTGAGTTTATTGAATTTGATGGAGAAAATACAAAACTAGAAGTAGCAGCTTTTTTATTAGCTCATGGAGATGCAATGGAGGAAATGGTGTTCAGTTGCAGTAATGAAGCTAAGTATCATGCTTTGTCTATGGAGACTTTGAAAAAAGTGTCAAATTTCCACAAGGCTTCTTCAAATGTCAAAGTGATTACTCTTTTAAGGACCAATGCTGCAAGATTTTCTGATAATATGTAATGTAAGTAAGTAGCTAACTAGATTTCTTGGTTTCATGTAGAGTTGGATTTGGATTTTTGTTTCATTTTCACTTATTATTAGAAAAATATTTGTTTTTTTTTTTTTTTTTTCCTTTTTAGAATGATGTCTGTGATGATTCTGACTTTCTGAGTAGGGAATTTTGTTGGGAGATGTATTAAGATTTGGGTTAAATGCATAGCATTATTTAGGTCGAATTTTTATAATATTCAATGTATCTTTGTCATGTAAAATTGAAACCTATATATATATATATATATATATATATATATATATATATATATATATATATATATATATATATATATTTCATTTCACACAATATGGTGAACATTCAAGAAAGTACATTGTTTAAATTAAATAATACATTATCTTACACAGAAATTGGCTAAGAGTTTATTGTCATATACATTATCTTACATAGGAATCGGCTAAGAGCCGTGAAGTCTTCTTACAAATAGTCTATTGCTTGGTTCCACTAGCGACGATTAGATTTAGAAGCAATGAGACTCCACAAGTGAATAGGAAATAAGTTACCTACTTAATCATTGACACCCGACATATTTCCATCCATTGATCGACTTTATAAGCAAATATTTCCGGCTTTGACAAGGTCATAGACACCAAACAAGCATGGGGTGGAGGCATGAGTGGGCAATCCACACCAAACAAGCCTACATGGGATTAGAGTTGCTTTGTGACTAAGCATTTGTAGCCTATATATAAGGTGCAAGGGATCACATCCTAATTGCTCCATTCCTCACGGAAGCTTTGTTCTCCTTTCTTCCCTAAGAAGGATTGAAATTTTGAACCCTTCTAGGGTTTGTAGAATTTTCGATCTTGCTATTGGATATACACTGATCGGATATCTCACAGCTCATATTTCCATTTATTTAGGGAATCTATTTAAGGATTGTTGTTATCTTTATTTGTAACTTGAAATCTCTGTATCCATGTATAAATTGATCTCGTTTGAGGCATAATAAAACCGGAAAACACAATCATAATTCCTCGGTTTCATGGTATCAGAGCTGCACCTTGATCAAATAAAAAATTTGTAAATTTCTCAACGGGATTTCATCATGGGAGATAAATCTTCATCCTTTCAGCCCAAATCAACTGCCACCAATCCAACATCCCCATTCTATCTTCATCCATCTGATCATCCAGGTTTGTCCATATGCCTAGTGATCTTGAAAGGTGATAATTATCAAGAATGGAGCACAACCATGAAAAATGCCTTCCAAGCCAAGCGCAAGATGGGCTTTCTTGATGGCCGTATTACCAAACCTAATGACAAATCAGTCGAGATTGACGACTGGTAGAGTGTTAATTCTATGCTTGTCGGTTGGATTGTACAATCAATCGAACCCGCCTTACGCTCATCAATCACATACCCTGAAACAGTTCGTGAACTGTGGAATGATTTGCTTCAACGATTTTCGGTCGGTAACGGACCAAGAATTTTGCAAATCAAATCCGATATCTCTCGTTGTCGACAAAATGGTCAATCAGTGGCGGCTTACTATGGAAATCTAAAGAAGTCGTGGGATGAGCTTACTACATATGTACCACCGAAAGGTTGCAATTGTGGAAAGTGCACCTGTGATTTAACAAAGAACAGGAAGAAGAACGGATACACCAGTTTCTCTTGGGTCTCGAAGATGATATTTTCGGGACTCTACGATCTAATGTTATGGCTCAAGAACCACTTCCACCTCTTAATCGTGTCTATGCTCTTGCCATTCAGGAGTAACGTCATCAGACACTTGTCAAAGATCGTGACCTTGATAAAACTGACGCTATCGTTTTTTCTATGCAAGTGGGGGCTGATCATACTGTTGCACGCCAACCACAAACAACCGTTCGGCCAAAATGCACTCATTGTGGACGCCTAGGTCATGATGTTACTAAGTGTTACAAACTTCATGGATATCTCGAAGGGTGGGTCCCACGAACAGGTGGTCGCGGAACTAACACTCAGCAATTAAATGGGCGTGGACGCGGACGGGGATCTTCTGGTGTTGCTAATGCTGCCAATGCTGCCCAGTTTCCTTCCACAAACTCTTCAATATCCATAAATGACCAAGATAAGGCAGCGTTTGGTAACACTCTCACCCCTGATCAATGGAACTCGGTTATGCAAATGTTCCACACCCTTTCAACACAATCAGGTGCCAGTGGAAAAGAGTCCGGTAAGAATTTAATTTGGGTTTTAGACACAGGAGCATCGTATCACATGACATGCAACTGCAATTTTTTGTAAAATTTGGTTCTTATATCACCTGTTTCCATCAAACTACTTGACAGTCGGTTTGTTACCGCTCATCAGGAAGGATCTTTAATATTTTCATCACTTGCTAAAATTGATCATATTTTGTATATTCCTACTCTGGATTGTAATCTAATCTCTTCTGCTCGATTAGCTTCTGATGCAAAATGTCTTGTTATGCTCACCGATAGATTGTGTGTTATTCAGGAACCCATTTCGAGGATGCTGATTAGAGTGGGTGAGCAACGAGGTGGGGTCTACTGGCTTGGCACGATTAGATCCACTGCTCAAGTTTGTCATATGACGGCCTCTTCTACATCTGCTCGTGCTTGGCATCAACGACTTGGTCACCCTTCTCCGTCTGTATTAACATTTTTACCATTTTATCCTAGTTCTAGTCAAAAGACTTGTAGTAATGAACCTTGTGATGTTTGCTTTAAAGCTAAACAAACTCGTTCTCATTTTCCTTTAAGTTATAATAAAGCTACTTCGTTATTTCAGTTAATACATTGCGATGTATGGGGTACCTATAGTATACCTTCAACTACAGGAGCATCTTATTTCTTGACCGTATTGGATGATTATTCTCGTGCAACCTGGGCTTACTTAATGAAGTCCAAAAGTGAATTTGCTACATTGATTAAACAGTTTTGTGTTATGGTTGGCACACAATTCCATAAGAAAATACAACACTTTCGTTTTGATAATGGTACCGAGTTCTCATGTATGCAGGGTTTTTTCGCTGATCAATGAATATTGTTTGAAACCTCTTGCGTGTACACACCACAAAAAAATGGTCGTGTTGAGCGTAAACATTTCCATATCCTCAATGTGGCCCGTGCTTTACGATTTCAAGCATCTCTTCCACTTACGTTTTGGGGAAAGTGTGTCCTTACCGCTTGCCATTTGATAAATAGAACTCCTACACCTCTTCTAAATAACACCACCCCATATCAATCTCTGTACGGACATGAGCCATCATACCAGCACCTCAAAGTGTTTGGATGTCTTTGCTTTGCGTCTAAATTACCTAGGTCAAAAGATAAATTTGATGCTCGTGGCTTAAAATGCATATTTCTAGGTTATCCTACTGGAAAACGTGGTTGGCGCGTATATGACATTGAATCTGGTCGTATTTTCATATTCCGAGATGTTGTATTTTTCGTGGATAACTTTCCATCAAACCACCCAACACCAACTTCAACTTCCGCCCCTCTAACCGAATTCCAACATCCAAAGGTTTATGAGGATGTGCTAGATACCACATCTCCGAAACTTGTTTCAGGTAACCCACCATCTACCGAAGACAGGGGGAGTTCTAGTTCTTCAACTGCACCAGAACGTCACAACACACGACTCCACCAACCGTCAGTTCTACTTCGTGACTATGTTTGTCATACCATACAAGCCAGCCCCCCACGCCCCACCCCGGTCCAACTCAAATCATCACCGCCCTCGGGTAAACCTTATCCTATTGCAGCTTATGTCTCCAATGGTAGGTTTTATAACAAGCATGCCAAGTTTTTAGCAGCTATTACTGCAAGGCATGCACCTTATTCTTTTTTAGATGCTGTTCAATATTCCGAATGGAGGGCTGCCATGCATGATGAGCTCACTGCTCTTGAACGCAACAATACTTGGGTTTTTACTACCCTTCCTCATGGTAAGAAAACAATTGGGTGTAAATGGGTATATCGTATCAAATATAAATCGAATGGAGACATAGAGCGCTACAAGGCCCGACTAGTTACTCTTGGAAACAAGCAACTTGCTGTCATTGATTTCACAGAGACCTTCGCTCCGGTTGCAAAGATGTTATTAGTTCGTGTCTTTCTTTATGTCGCCGCCATTAAAGGTTGGGAACTCCATCAAATGGATGTTCACAATGCTTTTCTCCATGGAGACTTAGACGAAGCCGTATACATGACTCCTCTACCTGGGTATTCCAATGTTCCACATGGGATGATTTGCAAACTTCAAAAATCGTTATATGGACTCCGACAAGCACCTCGGAACTGGTTCTCCAAGTTAGCAACCACCCTTCGCATTTTTGGTTTTCAACAAAGCAAAGCCGACTATTCTCTATTTTCTCTATCTCGGCATGGAAATATATTACATTGTCTTATCTATGTGGATGATTTGATTATTGTGGGTAACAATTCCTCAACCATTTCAGCCTTCAAACAATATTTAAGCAAGTGCGTTCACATGAAGGACCTAGGCCTTCTCAAGTATTTTCTTGGTCTCGAAATAGCTCGCAACTCTTCTAGAATCTTTCTTTCACAAAGAAAATATGCGCTTGACATCATTACTGAAGCTGGTCTTCTCGGCTCTAACCCTTGTGACTCACCTATGGATCACAACCATCGTCTAGCATTAGCAAATGGTCCTGATCATGACCGACCTGACAGTTATCGCCGCTTAATTGGTCGCCTTATCTATTTAACTATTACACGACCTGAGCTTTGTTTGTTGTTCATACGCTGATCTTCGTGTATTTCGATACTTGAAGAGTCATCCGGGACAAGGACTGCACCTCTCCCGTGACAGCTCGTTACGTTTATCCGCTTATTGCGACTCCGACCGGGATGCATGCCCGCTTACTCGTCGCTCAGTTACTGGCGGAGGCCGAATATCATTCCATGGCTACCACATGTTGTGAAATCATTTGGCTGAAATATTTACTTCAATCTCTTGGTGTTTCTCATGA